CTTTACAAAAAATGTCAGTGATTGATGAGTTAGATAGATTTCATTTATTTTTCCAGTAAAATATTCTATTTCACTGTCTACCTACTTGTATTATTCTGAATATATATGTCTTCTCATCTAAAAAGTAGGGGAGGGAAGGAAGTAGTAGAAAATTTCAACAATGATACATCACCTGTGAAAAGTTTAAGTGTTCGTATGTGTTGTGCTAGTTATTTATTTATTTATTAACTAGATTGGTTTATTGTTTGAATGAAGAAGAGGTTAAGCGGTTTTAGTCAATAAACAGTTAAATGAATTGGAAAATGAATGAATAATCATCTACATTGGTATGCATACACCATCAGTCACGCCTACTATACTTCTTTACACACATTTTATTCGGTTTTAAAAAAATGAAATGAACATCGAAATTCTTTATCTTTAGGGCATCATATATGTAATTTCATGATGACTTAGGGAAATTGTAAACCACTTCAGATTTTCCCTACTTTTATTTTTCACCTCTGCCCACCCACCTAATCTTTCTGCAAAAAAAACCCTTCAATGTTTTCTTTTTTCATCCTTCTAATTTCTATTTTTTCTTTTCTGCGTTTTTGATTTTCGTGTATATTTTTCATATGTGAAATAAACATTCATTTTCTTGATTTTGAGTAATATTTAATTTAAATGTATCATTCAAAATGGAAAATGTTTCTTTATTTATGTATGTGTCTATACAATAAGTGTATAAATGAAGGCAGGTGCATTAAATAAGTCAATTTTTTATGATGATACTCTTGAAATGTCAGCAATTTCAATTATCTGTTCAGTGTTTAAATCAAAAGTAATACTATAATTCTGCAAAATATCATTTATTTACTCTAACAAATACAATCTTATAATTAATCCACCTTGAACTTCAACATGTCCATGATAATTAATGCTACTAATTCACAGAGTTTTCCCTTTTTTAAATGATTATACTACTGATGAATATTTCACGGTGAAGGCAAGTAATGTTCTTACACATTTTAAGTCATGAATTGACCAATGTTAGACCACCATTAGAGACCTGGAAGCACTGGACGGCCGAAGACCGAAGACAGTGTATGAGGTTGCGCAAGACCGTCAATTGATCGAATTTAGATATTAAAACCGTTAGATACTGGCTCAGTGGTCCAGAGCTAAGACGTTCGCGCCCAAGACCGAATGTCTTGGGTTCGTATCCTGCAGGTGCGCACTGGTGAGGAGTTCCATACCAGGACGAAACGGTCGTCCAGTGCTTACAGGTTTCTAATGGTGGTCTAACAATGATCGATTCATGATTTCAAATGTGTAACTTATTAGTCTTCACAACGCCCTAAGTAATATTCTGCTAAAATTTTTAGATTTTATTTATACTTTTTCAATGGGATGTAAATAGGTTCAGTTTAAAACGTTTTTGAATGACTTTTCAGGATTGACAGCGATTTGATTTTGAAAATTCTAGAATAATATTCAGCTATTCCACTACTCCTCAATGGAATACTCAACTATGTGATACTCGTGTTGTTTAAAATGTAAAACTTCCGATTTATTGTCACTTTTCAAGTCTATTCGAATGTTTTCAATGTAATCAAACACTCAAACTAATCTCTTAAAACGATTTTATCAATAATAATCAATATCGACTTCATTTTATTAGCATTCGAAGAAACACTGAATTACCCATTTCTTCTATTTGTTCAATATTAAATGGAAAACTTAACCACTCATTATACAAACAATAAACATATGTATATTGGCATTATCTTCAGATTTTTGCTACATGTTAATTTATTTTAAATCTCTCTCTCTCTCTCTTAACAATGATCATTACAGTAATATAGTAATAACCATATGGAGCAAGATTTCCCTTTATCCAAAATAAATAAATAACATACATACAAACAGCGACATCATACTTATCAAGTTATGTCAACTGAGGATTTGGTATTTATTGATAAAGATAATTTACTTAAAAATAAATATTCAAGAAGTGTTGATTTTATTGTGTGATAAGGAATTATGAAATAGTTAGATCACCATCTGGTTTGTAATTTGACTTAAGTTTCTTTGTGTTGTAGTTCTCTTTTTTTTGTCACCTCTATTACAAATGGTCAAATGAGTCAACCAATATAAATATTTGTATTCTCATCGATTTGTATTTATATCTGCCATTTCTCTGTTCAATTTTCATGAGTACACAATAGCAATTTTGTCTTAGTGAAATTAGCCCAACTAGTGTATAATCTCTTATGGTTTATCAATTTGATTAAATCAAAAATAAATTGCTTCAGAAATATTTTTAAGTTTCATATTTAAAAAATCTGTATGAAACTTTTGTATATTTCCACTATTTCTTGACAAACCACAATCACACGTTCATCACTGTGTCCTACTCCGAATGTGCGTTATGTTGAATATTTCTTATAGTGATTGTTGCTGCTTCTATTTTGTTAATATTTTTCACATTTATATAAATTGTTTTTTTTTCTACAGTCAATTGGAAATGAACACGCGACCTTTTGGATGTAGAGAAAAGTTGTCTTTCAGTCTATCTACACACATGCACACTTCTAGCAGTTAGTTATTGCTTACCAATAAAATGACAATAATTGATGTCCAACTTGACAAGGAGAAATAAGCAAAAAAAATTTTCGTTCCACTGTTGTTGTTTTTTTCATTTCATTTATTTGTTCTAATCTTATTAAAAATGGTCTTTCAAAACAAGACGGATGTCGATAATTTTTAGATTTTATTTTTTCATCTAGTATTCAATATATAATTTCTGAAAGGGGATAATATTTATTGAGTGTACTGATGCAGTGCACTAGTAATTCAATGTAACAAAGGAAGCATGCATTTTTCTATACTTGAACTTACATTTTGAATGTGTTGTAGTCGTTTTTTCGAAAAAAAATATGCAAAAACTGATAAAATCAGGTTGAAATCTGTCAATGTTCAAATTTATGATTTATGGTAATAGTGATAGCTGTGATTGTGTTTTAATGAAATTACACGTGCTCGAAATGCTACTTACTTGTGAATATTTTTAATTTGTTCATGTATCAGTGATTAAATGTAATTTTATGCATTTTCGAAGTAAATATATCATTATGCATATTGTCATAACACTATAAACTTAAAATTAATTGCGAAAGAAATCAAGATTATCCTTTAGATGATAATTTGTGTTTTGATTTTTCTGAATTTATGGGTAAAACTATTTTCGGATACAACAAAATATACACTTTAAGATGATTTTTATCATCTGCTTCAAGTAACTATTTAGAAATGCTTTTTCATTCTAATTTAAAACTGTTATAGAGTTAGTCATGAAAATTAATTTACTTTACACATCACAGGAAACAAATAATTATTCATGTGATTAGTCCAGTTTAATTTATGAATACCAATCAAGAAAGATTATTTACATGCATAATACTTACTAAACTTATTTGTTAACTTGAAATGAGTAAACAGAAACCTGTGAATGACATAAATTTTAAAAAAGTCTAGGAGTCTGATGTTTATAACAATGAATCGATTTTATTTAGTAGTTTTTAGAAAACTAATGATTCAATAATTAGAACTTAAATAGTTACTCATTCATATTTCAAAAATGATTCAATCATTGAGTCTTATCGATTAATGAAAAGAACAAACAATTAAATTTTCATGGTGGTATTTCGTTCTCTGAGCTGGATGTTTTGGTTGTGAAGCTTTCATTGTTCTTTTGAACAACATCATCAGTTGCACTGGTAACTATTAATTGGCTGATTTAAGCCAGAATTTAAAATTTAGGAAATTGAATGATCGTTTGCATATTTTGAGGACCCAATTATAAGACAGTTTAAACATTGTGGTTCAATAGAGATTTACTCTATGAGTATATACATGATTGAATGATGACATATACAAAACCATCTAGTCTTTAGTAATAGATCAAAACTCCACCATAACTGTACAAACTCTTAAGCTAACTTAATGAAAGAAAGCTATTTACAACTGAGAATTATCGATTACATACAAAATTGAAGCTAAATTTCACAGTAAACACTTCTGACTGAACTGAGTAAGTACTATATGACAATCAAAATCAATTCACATTCAGTATAAGATTTTTAATCAATTAAATCCTAAGTACTTAAGCATCTCCTTAGATAGCAATTAAAGAAACAGTATGAAAATATTAATTTTTTTCTGCCTTGTCTCTATCAAAAAGTAATAAATTATTTTAATGAAAATTGCATTTTGAAATTTTCATTTCAAACCCATTGGAAATATGAACAAATTTTCATCGACAACGTTAGTAGATTGTTGAATATATATATGAGTTTTTTGAATCATCAAAAGATTCACAATTAGGTAGGTGCGATCTGCGGGACAGTTTTTTCATTGTCTCAAAAACCATTCAAACAGCTTTCATTGATCAGAAGTTAGAAACTAACGTTAAAACCTCGCTTGTTGCTTCTTCAAATCGATCATCAGATCGTAATAAATTCTGGGAAATCTATCAAGTAAATATCGACTTCTTGATTCGTTATTCTTCTAGAATGATTGATTTTAATTCAAAAAAATCAAAGAGAAATTTTTTTCTTCAAGCTTGATTATCAGCCCTTTTCTATTTTATTTATATTGATAAAATAAAATTTATCAAGAATAAACGTTAGAAAACGACTGTTATTTTATCGTTATTAAATTTACCCTTAGATTCTATTGACTATTTTGCATTTTTAAGCTAGTTTTTAAATTTTACTATTCCCTATCAAAGAGGTTTTTTACAAGACTTTCAAAAAGATTCATAGAATCTTTATTATTTTAAATGTGACTGATGCGATTCAGAATTATATTATGATTTCCTGGTATTTATTCAATTCTAAATTAGATTCTATCATTAAAACTTTGATTTATCAATGTTTAACAAATAGTTTTTCTTACATATGAACAGTAATATTAGTTTCTTTCAATGTTTTCTATCATTGTTATTGATTAAACAGGATCACAAAAAGATGTTATGGACGAATTAGACTCAGAAACTAGAAGTGATTTAAAAAGACAGAAAAAACGTGGAATATTTCCAAAAGTTGCTACAAATATTATGAGAGCATGGCTTTTTCAACATTTAACAGTAAGTTGAAAATACCTATTAATAAATGATGTTTATCAAATATGTAGTCTTAAAAGTTTATAGTATTTTTTGTATCTGAAGTGTTGCTTTTGTCCATTAAGTTGAAATTAATTTTACAATGAATTATTATGTATAGCCTAATATTCAGTTCCAAACGTATTCACGACAGCATTCACACAATTTATCATTTCTAAAAGTTGACTGGCTCAAAACATAAGCTTTAAAACGTGAATTCTGTACCTAATTATTTTGGTGTTTTTCTTTAACTATTCATTATATTTGAGAGAGTGATAGTTTGGATATTCTGAATTAATTCTCACTTTAAGGTAACTTCAGATATCGTTAATTAACTAAGAGGCTTCATAGTCAAAAAGCTGATGATTAATTTTAGTAATTTCAACATCTTAGCATTTGGAAGACATTGTTAAGTTGAGTACACATCAAATTCGTTTTGTCAGTGACAGGAATGCGAGAACTAGCTCTCTGAACATTATGTACGTCTAAAGATTGACAAAAAATTATACCACTATGTATAAATCCTTCTGAATAGATAGTTCCCACAAAAGGAGGTGCTTTAAAACATTTTCGGTTGTGAAGAGTCACGGAGCTTAAAAAAAGATAAACATAATTGGCATACTAAGCAAATAATCCAGCGAATTCTCGATCTAGCTTTTGCCACAGTCAACTAACCATATCTGTTTTGATTAGTTTGAATAATTCTGTTCTCTAAGTAGACCGTATTCTGGCAATGTGACTAGCGAACTGTGTCACATAAGAAATGTATCGTTAGTATTTCTATCATTGCTGATTACATCTAACTACTTATATTTTTCAGTGATATACAAATGCAATGTTTATTTATAACACTATTTTACTTGATTATAATGGATAAGAAATTCAATTCACATTGTCACTGTTTATGCATCATTGAATTAACCTGAATGTGATGATGATTTTTGTTTTTTAATAATTAAAATTATAGGGAATAATTATTTTCTGTACTTAGGGAAAGAGTTAAATTTTTCTAAACATCTCATTATTTGTGGTTGAATGACTCTAAATACAGATGCTAATCATTGGTTACATCAAAAATATTTCAAATTGAACTGATATTATGTCAATTTGATAAATAAGGTTTCTTATCAATGGAAATCGATGTATACAATTATAGGAAGATATGCACAATTAATAAGTATGTACTTTAAAGCCATTTCACCTAAATATTGATCACCCGGAAAATATGTTGAGAATTTATGATGAATGTTTAAAGATACGTTAAAATTTACCAGCTATGTAAATCATAATCGTAGAATGATTTGATTCAGTTCATTAGTTTAGTCTATGTTATTTAAAATGTCATCATAAATTACTTAACAAATTAAAAATAACATTGTGTCAGTTCTTTTCTTGTACAACCATGGCTGCTACCTTGACGTGGTGGTCGGGTCTGCCTATCGTGATGACCCAGCTTTCAAAGGTTATCATAAAGAGGCCATGTGTGACCGGCCTCAAGCAGTTGTCCCTTGGGTTCAGTGGTCACGCTCTCAGGTCTCTAAGACCAGTGCTAATCCGATTTCCTTTACACGTTTCTCGAGAAACACCCTTCCACGGTGTGGGTAGTCGGGAAGTGACATCCACCCTCGAACCTGTAACAGCACGCGATACCGAATTGGTCATAATCAAATCCTCCCTACATCCGCTAACATCTCCCCTTATCTCCACTTGTACAATTATTTATGCTATTAAATTATCAATGACTTTTATTGTCATTTAAGATGAATGTAACTATTCAGGTAACTAACTCCACTCCATTCTACATTCATTTTTACAAAGCATCCATATCCCTCGGAAGAACAGAAAAAGCAATTAGCTCAGGATACAGGATTAACTATTTTGCAAGTAAATAATTGGTAAGTCTCTCTATTACACTTCATTTCTGTTTGTTTTAGTTTTATGCAGTAACTTAATTAAATATGCTATTCAAATAAAACTGATTGATTAAAACAGCTTTTTGTTTTGTTAAACATTTAATATTATCATTTAGGTTCAACACCCGAATTCTTAACGAAATTGAACAAATGAAAATACATATACCTAGTAAACAACGTTTGATTTCGATTTGTGATGAATACACTTTATAAATCCATATGAACTCCCTAACTTGCTATTCTTAATCGATATTTTGACGAGTTAAATAGTAGATCCTTTTAAAAAATAAATACATATCAGGTATTTTTATTTACAAACATCGTGCATTTTCATTCTTAACAGTTTAACAGGTTTGATCAACTTATTGTGTCACTCGAAGGAAACTCCCCACATTTGATGAAATCAGCTCAGAAATAGTCGAGACAATCTAACTCGAAATCAACTACTTTATCATAGTCTGAGCCTACTCACCGGTGTATATTCCACACCTCGTACATAAATATAACTTATAATAGTAAAATATAGGTGCCCTGACTATTGATCGGTTTTTTTAACTTAAGAAATAAATGTGAAGCTATTGTTATTTCATAATGTATCCTATCTAAAAATGTTTTAATTTCGTATTTATACTTCGTTACCTATGATATAAACATTTAATTATATTTTATCTCACCTAAAACATATCTGACTGTACGTTTTATAATCTTATGAAAAGTAGGAACTTTATTAAAACTGTATTCTGAAACTGTGAGTAAAGTATTTTCATCAATCACTATACCTTTTATTTACTTTTCAAGTGAAAGTGATAGTGTGGAGCAATGCTCATTATACAGTAATTCAAAAGAAATATTCCAGTACATTTTAGAATGAGTTTAAAAACTGATAAATATTATTATATACAAAACATTCAATATTTCTATAAAGTTTAACGACCATTTTCATCTTTGAATACTTTTGAGAATATGAATAAAATAGTAAGGCATATGAGCTTAATTAATATCATTCTATCTTTATTACCATTATTATTATTCTAGGTTCATTAATGCACGTCGAAGAATTGTACAACCTATGATTGACCAATCTAATAGAGCAGGTAAGCAATGTAACAGCGTAGAAAATAATTTTTAATGATCTTACCCATAACAATTAATAAATCTATTTATCTAAAGAATTGATCCTAGCATCAAGATAACGACAGGTGGACACTTGGCACTTATGTAAATTCTTCAAAATGAAATAAATTTCGTTTAATCCCCTCGTTTATTGTATTGTTTAATTGCTAGTCCCATGTATAGTCACCGGAAGTTTAGAATTTTATAGCCACTTACCTATCTCTTCTAGTCTATCTTGTAGTACATTAATCAGACCACATTAAGTAATATGGTATTTTCCGAAGACAAATGCTAGACAACAGTCAGGCAACAAACACATCCAGTAGTGTAGTAATCAAAACATTGAGTAGTGACTTTTCTTGTTCACAGTCTACATGATCAGAAAACTGCGCATTATGTAAGCAACTGATTGATATAATACGTTCACTTTCGTTTATTATCTAAAAGACAGTGAGAACAAAGAGTTGAACAAAATAACAAGCGATTTATTTTATTCGGTTAGATTTTTAACAGTTGCTTAAAACCTAGAACATTTTAAAAACCAAAACATTTACATACTTATAACAGTGAGCATGTATCATCATAGTAGAGTAACAAGATTGAAGGAATATAAATAGGGTATTCTGGAAGCACTTACATTGTGGTCAATGATTAACAACAAGCAAAACATGTGCTTAACCTTTTCAATGACGCACATAAAAATATTAAGTTTATTATGGAACATAGAAAAGATGATCAGTTCCACTTTCTCTATAATGCCATCCAGCAGAGGGAGGATGTTGCGATACAGTTTTTAGTTTATCGAAACGATGCATGGGATGGTTTTTACTAGAATTTAAATAGATTCTTCCGATTGGTTACGAAAAATCACTTATCGAAACACTGTTTTATAGAATGGGAAAGATATTTACCACTGATACACAGAATTAATGAACGCTAAACTATGTCTAGAGAACAAAGGGTATCCGAAGAAATTCGTTGAGAAATATGAGAAGAGTAAAGATGAAATACTTACAGAAACCACGCAAAACAAGAAACTTGCTTTCATTTGACTTGAATTCAAAGATGACGGTGTTGAGACAGCAGTCAACGGATGATTAAAAGTCACATTGATTAGAACTTATCCTGCACCCAAGCTGATTGTCCTGTATAAAACAGTATGTTTTCTACTTCAGTCACAGCAAGATAGGCACCGATTTCATGTTACTGCTAATTGAGTATAAAAATTCACATACATCTGCCAAAGCAATTACACCAGTGGAAGAGTAAGAAGGGCCTATGTTTGAATCTAAGAACATATCCCTAAAAGTTTCAGGTAAATGGGACTTACAACTTTTAGCAATTCTATTTCAAAGCATCTCTGTGACAAAGGGCGATAGACTGTAGTCTTTCAGGAGCATCAATCGACAGTCGAATCCAATTCTTATGGAATTCGCTGGTCATAGCTATCAAACACCTCTAACCGGACTTATATAAGCAAAAGGAAACAGTTACATATCTTTTCTTACCATGATCACTCTATTAATAGTTTAATATATAATTCTTATAATTTTTTCTTTATTGCTTTGATTGCATTACTTCTTTCAAATTTACAACTTTATTTTTAACTGAATGATCTAAACTCATGTTCTTCTTCATTCGATCACTTCGTCACATGGTCACTTAATTATTATTATATCTATATGACCTCTTGTTACCACGTCTGATAATACAGAATCTTCTTTTGCATATTATATTGATTTACGACACCATGATGACATATACGCACATCTAACCAGTTCCAATGTTATAGCTATTTAAACGTTATGATTTTTAAAATATTCTCGTGGATAAGCAACTGATTAGAACCGAACGAAATAAAATGAATTTCATGTAATTATTACTGTTGTTGCTGATGTTGTTTTCTTTAAGAATTGGTTAGTAATTCATTCAACTGGTCTTGTGAAAAAAAGAATATCAACACGTTTTACTATGACAGTTCCAATTTAAATCAATTTAAATAAACTCATAGAAATTTTCTTCATTTAATTCGATATAAAACTCTGAACATGTAGCATGACCCAGTTAATCGGATTATAGTTTAATAAAAATGTTATACTTTTTTTTAAAAATGATAGAGTGGTTTTGACAACCAGATTATGATAACTGAAATATTGAAAAATAATTTTATTTGTTTAATAAACTAGATTATACTAAAGAAAATAGTGTAACTGAAAAAAAAAGAAATGAATTGAATTTGATACAGTTTTGTTTACACTGATTGGACGCTATTTATTCATAATATGGTTGTACTATTGTGAAGTAATTTTTGTTTTTTATTTTTCCAAAAAAAATATTTTAATGTACAGGACCACATGGTTATTCAGTCAGTGATAATGTACCTCCATGTTTAGACTATATGGAAGGTGGTCCACCATATTCGGCTTATACCAGAGCAGCTCAAGCCGCGGCCGCTGCAGTAGCTGGTAAGTATATTTTCAACTGATATACAATTAAGTATAGTTAGAATCACAGATACGATCCTCACGGCATCGATTAAGAGAACATCAAAAACTGATGACGATGAACATTCGCTTCACCTTCCAAAATAGATAGACCAACCTTTAACAGATACATTGGTTTGTATATTGGTTTTATTTATATTTTACGACAAGTTATCGAATATCATGTAAAGGAGGAGTATACAGGATTACGACGAAGTCCGTTCTGAATTCATACAAAGAATATCATTCCGAATAAACATCTCAGTGAAAACAAAACAATTTATTAAACTGAGTAGTTATCACTCTGAGTGAAAAACAGAAGTTGAATTGAATGTGGTCTTTATTCTATTCTAACGAATATAGTTGTCATATAAGACTATTGTTCAAGGTAAACTCTTGGATTGGTGGACCTAGTAATTTTCTTTGGTGTGTAAAAATGTTGACTATTTTTAAAAATGAATTCATAATCTGTAACTTTGTTAGATGCTAGATAGAACAAGAAATAAAAAAACCTTTTATTTTAAATGTCTACCTATAGACATGAATATGTAAAAGTGATCACGCTTATTCAGAGATCGAATTTTTTGATTCAAGTGATAACAATTGATGATGAAAATAACATGTGAACAAATATAACTTGATAAAAATATACTAATTAGAGTAAAATAAATTGATCCCAACTGTTATTATTAGAAATCACTTGTTAAATATGTATTAGTTTATACTGTTATTAGATTGATCTAACCATGTATATAACGAAATGTTTTAACTTCATCAAGCAATAAATTATCTAGTTCTTTTAGAAAAAGTTCTTTTTTTAACTCCAGATAAGATCGATAGGTTGATGGAATGTATAATGAAAAGGTGAAATGCATGTCATCTATTATTTTAACATGTAAGCTTAGAGAAATGAACATATAGCATATTTCCATGTGATTATTTCTAAGCTAATAAATATCTCAAAATAGCAGTCAGTAACTTGCCATATTGCTTTCTGCTTGAAGGATTTTATGTAATCGTATTAGGTAAAATGTATCAAGATATGCTTTATATATGTTTAAGTATATAATGAAATTTATGAAATGCAAAATTTGTATTTCGAGAGATTATACATTTTCGGTTTTTCTACAACAAATACTTTAAAGTGCTTAGATTAACATAAATATTAATTTGTTGTCGTTATTATTATTATTATTCTTTAAAGGATTCTCAAATCACCCTACATCAAATGATGTTTATTTGGCGGCTGCTGCAGCAGCTGCCGCAGCTTCTGTTGGTTTTGGCAATGGTTCTATGATGAATAATCCATCAAGTCAAGATAATTTAATTCGATTCTCCAATGGAAATCGTGGTGATCAATGTGTGGGTGATATTTCATCAAAGACTAGTGGAATAGATTCTCTTGTTATGCCAACCGATTATACACTTCCAGATCGTGTTAGTATTGTAAATAATAGTTTACCGCATAGTTCATTATATTCCGATGATATGAATGAAATTCCCGCCAATTTATCTTCATCATCTATGTGTAATCTATTTGCAAATAATCCATTTAATAATTGTGGTCTAGACAGTACAACAATAAATAGTGCATACAATAACAGTATCGGTAACCATCAACAACAACAACAACAACAACAAAATACTCGTTATTCCACTGTGATGCCAAATTCTAATCATTTCGACACATCAAATGGATATGCATCAAATAATCATTCATTTAGTAATTACAATTCCAATAATTTTGATACAATGTCTACTGTAACAACAAACTATAATACTGATTTAATGCCATCTCATTATAATACTAAACTAACAACCATGTCATATTCACCAAAAAATTATCGTATCAATGATACAGACAGTAATAGTTTTGTTAACAGTGAAGATATTTTAACTTCTACTACTACAACTACTAATACTACTGGAACGACTAATTCAATTATTCCTAATCATAGAATGTCAGATAATACAATTTTAGGAATAAATACGGTTACAACACCGCCACCATTATCAGCACTATCATCATCAATGACAACGTGTAGAAATAATGATTCGGTTGAAAATGAAAACAATAATATTCATTTAACTTGTTTAGGTCTCATTGGACCAACAAAATAAATAAATAAATAAATGCGGATCATTTGAAAAATATTTCAATTTTTTTTGTTTTTTTTTAAAAAAACTTCTTTCATTTCTTCTTGATAAATGAATCAATGTAAAGTTACTAATTTTTTCTTTCTTGACTGCGATCTTTTGAATCAGCAATAAAGTGAAATAGAAATGAATGAGCTAGTTAATATATGGTTTATTTCCGGTGTTTGAATAGACAGAGTAGATTTAAGTAAGATGTATAAGTAAACATATACTTATGATACAAATTCGAGGAAACAAAAATGGGAAAATGAAAAACAATTCACACACACACACATGCACGCACAGACACACACACATGCACTGAGAAGCACCTGAATGTGCTTGAAATAAAAACTACGCGAATCCTCATCATGTACTTGTTTACTGTTAATTTTTACTCATAAGAGATTTGTAGAAGTGTTTTCTTTGCTCTTTCTATTTTGTTTTTGTACTAATATGAATTCATCATATTGTTTATTGGTTTGCATTAATTCTAATATGACAGGCATACTTATCTTACTTATTTGTATTAATCATGGTTCAACTTATCAAAACAAAACTAAACCAAGCCTATTCATTCTCTCTACTCCTATTTACACAATTTAATTTTAAATTTAAATCAAAATAAATTTTTAGAAAAAAAAATAATAAAGAAATTCAAACATTTACTGACTGCACTGTAAACGAACTACAACATACTTTATTTTTGCATAAGTTGGAAATCTTTTCAAAGATACTACACAAAGACGCATAAAGATGCAAAAACAGACAGAAAACTACATTCAGTACAGGGTATCATTAGTTTTTTCTGAATTATTTTATCTTCAAAATCGGCTCATATATATAAATACATATATACATATACATATAGTGCTTTTTGGGAGACATTTTCAACTCGTGTCTTCTTCAGTGTTTTTTTTTCGCCTTTTCTTGAATTTCATTTTTGTTTTTCTGTAATAAGGTTTCCTTCTTAACTTATCTGATATGTTAACTAGTAACAATTATGATCAGAAAAAAAACAGTAATGACTTTGCAAACAATAATATTATGATAAATTTTGTCAAGGGTAAAATAAAGTAAGCCAATTGAAAAATTCATTGAATTGTAATAAACTTTTTTTTGATTTTTTGGTCTTTAATTAAGTTTCCTTGTTGTGTTATACTATGATTTAATGGTGTGGATTAATGAGATTTCCAATTGATGAATTAGTATGTAAATGAACATACCAGTCAATCGTTTTAACAAATGAAACGAATGTTCGACCTGTATCATTTTTATGGTTAACATTCACTTATAGTTGGCCAAACATTGGAACATAAAACAACTGAACAGTTGTTCCGTTTAAGTATGCAAGTCATTGTATGTCAGCTTAATAATGTAGAGGATAGGCACTGTTAGAAAGACCGAAAGTTCCAGGTCCGATCCTCGGTAGGGTCATGGATGCTCACTGGGGATAATATAGTTGTTCAGATCTTGACCACTGCCGTTTTTTAACCGGAATCATTCGATTATACGATATTTATAAGCCAGTTACAGTAATAATGTTTTCTTTAACTGTTATGTTAACGTGTTGAAAAGTTCGTTGGGTTACATTATATGACTGCAAACTTGAACACGAAAAATAAGTGAACTCTATCAGGAAGTTTTAGTCATTTATTCTTCCGTTTTCATAGCAGTTAGTAAACATTGACTTGTGTGGACAAAGCAAAGTAGAGAATTCCTCTATTTCCTTCTATCTAGGGTAGATCAAATGTTAGCGAATAAACGTTTATTTCTCTTCTATCAAATAAGAACTTTTAGTGAATCGACAATGACTAAATGAAAGATCAATCTTTCGTCTAACAGATTTTAGCATTTAACAGAAGAAAATCTTACATATTCAATCAGTTTTTATCAGTTAAGATAAATCGGGATTACTGAATCCGGTTTATGAATACTTCGTAACAATGTTTAGTAATGTTGTGGAGTCATAAAATATTTGTAACATTTATCATTTGTTATTCTATAGCATATATATATATATTGATATATAACTCTAATTTCTTCCATTTTAAAGGGTTATTATTTTATATTTCTTCTATCAGCGGTCTTCTTTAAGCAAGCAAATCTTTCCTGCATATAAGCTGGATGGAATTTCCAATATCACTTATTTTGTATTATTAAAAACTTGAAAAATGAAGAAACCAAAGTAAATATATCACGCGCGATAGAAAAAGAACTGAGAATGTCATTCTATAGTTCCCAGTACTAACTGAATTCTATTGAATAGGGCATTTATCATAAGGGTAATCAACAATGCAATATTTTGACCGATAATATTCTTCACAGAATATCTTTCAGTTAAGTTGATAAAGATTGGTGAGCACTTTTAAGAATATACTGAATAATTCAAGTATCAATAATAAAGGTACTACAAGTTTTATAATTTCAAATAAACATCTTGCAATATGGAGGCAAACATGAGATATTAATTCAGTTTGGTCAGTCGACCATATAAGAGTAATTAGCAATAAAAGTTATTACTGTACTACACAGACAAAATACCTAGTTCTTATCTAGTCTGCCATAATTCACAAGGAACTTTCAGTTTGAATCAATCGTTATCAACACTAAAATGATAATTTACTAAAAAATTTGTTGAAATCAGTAGAAATAAAAGAGAGAACTCTCAGAAATCACTAGATGTGTTAAATATGTTTCCTGTAAGTCATCCGAGCATATTCCAGATCTGAGCATAATAACAATAGAATTATTTGAAGCTGGATATCAATCAAATGTTTCGTAGTAATGATTAATACTACGTAGGGTTAATGGTGATATTCAGAGCATCATTAAACCGATTTTAACGCTTCATAAAAAAAGATGTTTTGAATCGATGAACTTTGAAGCGTGATATGGACCAACTATGTGTTATATTGAAATTTAAGCATAAAGACTTTATATCCTTATGATTTATTACTGTTTATATTTACATGAAATTCAGGTTTCTATAGTATGTATTAAACAATGTTAAGTTAATATTTTTATTCACAGAATAGACAAAGCTGAAATTTTTTCATCCTGTTCAACTGTTTATAAATGATATTTGACATTTAATAGAATCAATTCTATTTTTAATCATATATGTATGTATATGGTGGTGATGTTAAGATACAGTAGTGGATACAATGATTATACACTGAAGGCAAGTGCTGTTTTCTTTTTCTGTAAAAAAAGTTTTAATCTCTATCCTCGTGAAAAATAAAATCACTAGGCAAGTGACAGAGAGATAAAAAAGGATAGGGATAACTGCACTGACAGAAAGACTGATTAAAACAGTTTATTGGGTTAGCTAAAACACACACATTTATAACTAATTCGTACGAAAAAACATTGGGAGGCGAAGATGCAACTAAAAAAATGCCTGTATTGTTTATTCATTGGTGTCTTGGACTTGACAGTCATAATATATATTGTTTTTAATATATATATATATATATATATATATATATATATATATATATATATATATATATATATATATATATATATATATGACTTGATTGAATATTAACTAAGTAGCCACTTTGTCTATCTTAGTGTAAATGTTTGAGACCTTGGTGATGTGCATAAATAGGTAGATAAAGGAAGTAACATGATGATAATTTTGGCGTCAGTTTATGATTATTTTTTTTAATAAACTTCGTTTAGGAATGATTTTAGATTATTACTTTTTTGACTAGACTAATTGATTATTCTTAAAACTTTTCCTTAAATAAAAGTGACAAGAATAGCATTGCTATTTGGCTTCAATGCTTTTAATGCAATAAAATATTTAACAAATTAAAATAAAATTAGAAAAAAAGGACTATATATATTCCATGTAGAAGTGTTTCATTTTAAAATCACTTTTATTAGCACTCAGTACTTTGAATAGTATGTCAGTAAATTTCGCATAAATTAATTTTAAATCCCAATTTACGCAAAGTATTAAGATTATTGTTGATGACAGTAAGTAAATCTACTGAATAAAGTTGTTTATTTCCAACACTATTTTTAGAGTTCATTGATGACATTCACTTTTAATCTGTCTACTGTTATTTGATTGAAGTTTTACTTCCTGGAAAGTGGAAACAATTAGATATCATTAAATAATTTCAACTTTGGATCTAGACCTCAGTTTCAAAATGATCAATTCAGGTAATCAATAGATAATTGAGGAATATAGCAAAATAGGTGTTGTACCTTAACCTAGTTAGTTAATCAACGTCTTTTCTAAAAACTTCCTATTCATTTAGTTGGAAAAAATCAGAACTGAAGAGCCCTTTGCAATTAAAAAGATGTCGCAAAACTTGTTAGGCGCCTTCTTAGACATATAGGCTCATTATTCTTCAAACTTGTAGATATTCTAAGAATATTTTCTATTTCTCAGTTTCTGAAACTGACTAATTCTATTTGTTAATTGTTCTCGTAAGAAGTTTGTAACCTACTGTGATGATAGGTACTGAAAAATCCAAGTGGAACTTTCTCACTGGTAAGCATATTTTTATCTTCTTATACTTCTTGGAGAAATCAGAGGTAACTGTACAAAAATTTATGAATCGAATATATCATGTGATGAAAGACGGAATTACGTGTTTGAGAGAAACGAAAACCATGATAAATCTCAGCCTACTATTTTGGGTTATTTTCCATTATTATCTATCAGTAGGTTTCATAATTCATTTTTCGTTCCGTCTAGGACTCAGTAGATGGATATACATCCATGCTGACATTCTCATCGAGACTCGAATATTGCACCATGACTCCAAAAAGCAGACAGTCATCAAGTGATAAATTAAGGTTTTAATTGGTAACACTGTCAAGAAATTAACACAAGGCATGGAAACACTGACACAAACTAATTACTCTGGCTCATTGATCGACTAGTGATAAAAATTACTGAGTTCATTACCTGTGGAAGTAGTTATTGAAGTTGAAAAGTAAATAAAATTGATTTTCCTTACAGCAGAGTAAGCTGTCAGTTAGTATTCTGGTTTTTGAAATGCATGATGACCCGATTCTCCATACTATTCTGCTGTTGTATTGCCTTAATATTTGA